CTTTTCTGAAGAAAAATAACTTGCATCATGTGCAGTCTCGAGTACATTGCACCAAAATAGTGCATTTAAACAAAGTTTTACCACCTTAAAAATGAATGAATTCTCAGAGCTCATTTTATTGAACAGATCTTTCGACCATATACTCCTTTCCAACATATGGGAGTATTAATATACCTAAAATATTTATTTATTTATTTATATCAATTGGCAGGCGTTTTGATGGTTATCATCAGCTCTTTAGCTGACTTCGGGCTTCACAGAGGGGATGAGGAACATCAAAGTGAGAAAATTCGAGAGGGGGAACAGAAGAGTGATTTACAGATGTAAAAGAGATAGACTGGCACAAAGGCAGAGAAAATGTACGATGAGTACTGTGGAAGGGGTCGAATATGGTATACAGTCGGGTCATGGTAATTTGAAGTGAGAAGTCAACTGTCGGTTAATAGACTTTTGCCGTATGAGTATGCGTTGCCCAGGGTGTACCACGTGGAAGTAAGTCTCTCGCACACCCCATATACCTAAAATAACTTGGATAAGAAGGTGCGTAATTTGAATACTTTGATTTTGATGAAAGGATAGGATTTGTCAAATCAGAATTGAGCAACATTGACGTTTAGTACGACAAAACAATCGTCACTTATTGTGTATCTGCAATATGCAAAAGTCCCTTGAAAATATGCTCACATAAGGCTCGATATCCACACAGCTGATTACATTTTGTTGCATAGGATTCAAAAGATGCGCACTTTTAGTCATTTCTTATCACTTTGCTCAGAGAAATAGTGATCTTATTAATGTGGTCTTCATTTCTGCGAGTTTTGCGAACACTTGTTGTCGTCGTTTTCTGTGCGATGTATTTAGAGAAGAGATGTTGGCACTATAGGTGACATGATTTGTGCTAACTGGAAATTCCATTTCAACTCAGGAATTCGAAATTCAAACATTCAACTGTTAGCGTAACCCAGATTTATATTTTACTATAGTTAATTACAGGACAAATATGTGAAATATTTTCAAACGATGTCTTTTATTATTGTATACATCCAGGCTATTTGAACGAAATTTTTGATCAAACAAACACACCAGCGCGGTAATCATATTTTAGAGTGTGAGATTAAACCGAAATATTAATTTTTTAACAACAGAAATAATGATTGGAATGTCACCACTTTTGTTTTTATGAACCATAACATAATTAGCTTGAAACGTATTTTGTTAAAACAAAGACCACTAGTTTGCCAAAAAAACAACAGTCTGAATAGGCACCTTTTTCTCTCAATATTTAATTCAGGTTTCAATTAAAGAGCCTTCATGCTCAACTCAAACGACTATGTGCTAATACGGTTAAGAGCGACGAGTACAATGAAACACCCTCGGATCCTCCCGCTGTAAAACTGGCCAAAGCCCAGGAAATCATTCGCGACAGGTGAGTAAAGGTCATATATCTATTGCTCCATTTATCCATATTTATTCGCGATTTTAAATTTAGTTGAAAGAAATTAAGGCTAAAGTGGCATTGGCCATGGCAGTAACGCTACTCTAAGTATCCGACCAACCGAATTCTTAAGAGACATGAACCAAGATAATAGTCAGTGAATGGGAAGAAGTGGGAGATCGGAGGTGGAGGAGGGGAAATTGGGAATTGAAAGGAGAGATGTGACAGTGGTGAATGAGGATACAAACGTAGGTTCAATGAGTTAGTTGTGTTGTTTGGTGGTATCCGGGTGGCAATCGAATAGTGGATTGCTACACTAGCAAAGCCTTGAACTGACTCAGATATCTCTATGGCAGAATCGCCTATATCTACCCAGATTTCCAGAACTAGCTAAGCTACAGCGCATCTATAGAGAAAACAGACGTATCGCACGAAACACGTTTTTTCCGGAAGTATATTGCGGTAAAGTGTACATGCTGAAAGATTAGTCATAATCAAAATGGCGGATTCACTTAAACAAACGAAGGCTTCTGATTGGCCATTGGTTGTGCGCGCATGGGTTCATGAAATGAACGAACATACGAAGTATTTCGTGCACAGATTTCTTTTCTTCCAGTAAACCAGCTATTAAAATTTTTACTTAGGATATTGGCGCGTTTAAGTGGGAGGAGTGTGTATGATATATTAGCTTAAAAAAACAATTGCAAGATGACAAGAAACTCACTTAACTTACGTAAGCGTGTGAATATGTTTTGTTTTAATTTTTTGGCAGATTATCTTGTGTGCTTGAAATATTTTATGGTTTTTTGTAAGTGAATTAAAAGTACTTCTTTTTCGTTTGTCCCATGGAGACGAAAAATTGGAATTGTTGTAAACCTTTTGCTTTAAATCTTTCTCATGCGATTTGCCATTTTAAGTTGGTTTGGTTTGAAAGTTCCATTTTACCATGGCGATTAAATTATAATTATAATAAACCCAAACTAATCTTAGCAATGCTTATTTCAGTATAATAGTTCAAAAATTACAAATCTATTTTGCATCTAAATTTAAAATACAATACATGTATGGTTTGATGAAGATTAGATAGGCGTCTCGCATGGTCTAATTTCATATCAAATTTCTGAGTACCGTAGCAGAATGCTACTCAAATAAGCCTTAACTAAACCCCAGTCAACTCTGTGACAATAGCCCTAAATATGTGAGGGCTCCCGAAGTTATCTCAACGACCTCAATACTATCGAGGATCTGGAAGGTATGACGTGGAATGCGTTTATTGTGGTTGTGCGTCACTGACACAAAGCGATTAAGAGTTTGCCACTCAACGCAGCGACTATTGATTTACGGTTTGGTGGAGATCTTCGAACTCACAGTCGCACTCGCTCCAATCGGATTTCTTTGTTTTGCCAGGGTAATTTAAAGAAACTATATCATAGTTAACAAATGTTGGATGCTTTTTGAACGATGATTTCTAATAGCTACTGGTTTTAAAACAAATCTTCGCCTTTCCAAAGCTCGTCACTGAAACAAGAGGTTACATAATTATATACAGTGTTAGATTACTTTAGAAAAAATATTCCTACGCAACGATTTAGGGGTTATAAATCAAATTATGGTAGTTTTCGAGGAAATCAATACAACAGCTATCTGAAATATCGCAAGTTTTTAAGCGGAGAGTGATTTACAGTTTTATTTAAAATAATTATGGGAAATTTTAAATAAAATGGAATGAACAATTTTGTTGAATGCCGATAATATATAACCGATATAAACGTTACTACGTCAGTTGAATTGACTGATTTACCAGAAAAGAATACAAACCAAAATTATGAAAATAATGTTTGTTAATTAGCAATTAGGAAATCTTCAAGTATCTTTTTTTCTGTCTCGAAATCAGCATCAGTCATTTTTTGAGAGGGGTAAAGTGCAGTATCCCATAGGAGGGAGAGTGCAATATTCACGCTATTCAGAATGAAATAAATTAAATTTCATGAACAGAGTTCGGCATGAATTGTTACTAAGTTCCAGGAAGTGTACAGGTTACAAATTCTCATTAATTAAAAAGAATTCTATGTGGCTTAAAAATGTTCCACTTGGGTTTCAGTAACGTATTTCCTTTTCACATGTTTGTAACCGATGGAAAAATGTAGGGCAAAGGTCACCCTATCAGAAAGTGGGGCCATTTTTGTATATTCCAAATAGTGTTCATTCTACATGAAAATGATAGCCAGTCACTCTCCATGTACAAAGTTAAAAAATAGTCTCTTATTTTGATAAAAAGAAAATATGTGCTTTTAATAGTGATAATGTCTTTAATTTTGGGACAAGTGACTTTCAAATAAGGCGAAAATGTATGGCCTATATCGATTGAAACCCATCTCCACTCCGATATATATCCGATTCGAAATGAGCATTAATCTGAAGGCCAAAGTAGAAATCTCAGTAACAAACAGTAGACAATGGGTCGGTCATGCACACTGCCTTCAATGTATGGTAATGAAAACCGAAAAGGTTTGGATCAGATATCTCTCTTCCATTTACTACCTTGTTATTTGATCAATGAAACAACAATATAAAGTCGTTCCATTATCTCATTTTAGTCACGTGGCTTTATTGGATCAGGTAGAAAATGCCATCCACATTTTCTCAAAATTCGTCTACAGTTCAATGGATCTTCAAGAAAACACGAGAAACAATAGCGATGAGGAAAGCAGTTTTACTGAAATCGCCTCGCATGTGCCTGAGGCTTTGGCAAAATTGGCTGCAGCAGTGAATGATATACGCGCTCGCCTCTCCTGTGATATTGAGGGAAATGACAGCGATGATGATGATGATGTTGAAGGAGAAGGTGAGCTGAGTAATGAAATCAATAATTTGTCAATGGACTTTGATGGACGCATATTGCACCCAGAGGAAACTACGCCTTCTCCACTGGGCTTCACAATCATTCTGAAGGCGGCAGGGGATACAGATGAAATAAGTGAAAGCGAAATATGACATTTTTCTAGCGCATTAATGACCTTGTACAGCAGAAGTCAATGAGAGGTGGAGCTTGCGACGATATGGAGTATTTTGCTTGCATTTGAGGCAAATTATTTTCTTGAGTGATATATTTATAATTTATAAAGCTTGAACAAGGCTATAAAATTCCAAAAAACATGTATAACTTATGTTTTGATGATGATTTCTTTCAAATGTACTTTCTGACAATGTAATTAATATTTTGCT